TATTATATATTATTATATATTATTATATATTATTATATACTATTATATATTATTAGATATTATTATATATTATTATATATACATATATACATAAGCACCAGTATACCCTGGCGTTCTTTCTGATTACGATTTACTAATCCCTGCAGGAGTTAGTACCCGTTCAGCTGGTACCACAGATCACTCTGCCACTGTAGCACACCCAAACGACGAACCCTCTCCATCGAGTACAATACGCACCCGATCACAACGCTCAGTCCAACTGTCGCAGTCAAGGACCACCGCAAGCCAAACCATCAACAAGTCATGGATAGATATGACGCAGGGATTCGCAGATGACTCATCTTCCGATGGGGATGGGCCAGAGACGGCAGAGAGAGCGGAGGCTCTTGCGTCTAGAAGAAGGTACAGAGTATGCAGTGCGGGAGGTGTGTGTGTTTGTGTACGTATTCAAGTGCATCTATATTAGCACACACAGATGGGGGACGAATCACCTTTTTGTATGCATTCCACGAAAACAAACGTGTACATATGATGCACGCGCTTATAACCTACGCTTTTAGTTTGGCCTATCCAGTTTGAGGCATACACACAGATATATCATATAAGCTTATATAGGAATAGACTCTGATATTCAATTTCTATAGAAGCTTATTTTGGTAAACTTATATATATAAACACCCGGATATTTAATATTATAAAAGCACACTCATACAAGCTTGTACAGGCACACAGACAAATACACATTCAATATAACTCCTCTCCTCCCCATACAACCCGTCCGTAGGTCGTCTCAGAGGAGCAACCCCCGGTACTCGCAGCCCTTCCTGCAGCGCACACCACTGACCACCAACCGACTGTTAGCGGAAACCACACGCTACAACGCAGATAGGCGCAAGGACATACAGTACGACATCGGGTCGCTGTCTGACTTCATCGCCGAGGACGATGACGACGGAGAGGCAACCAGCGGTAGTGAGAGCGACGCACCGGTCCAGAAAAGGTGGGACCAGGGCAGGGCTGTCGTATGGGCCCGTTTGATATTGCGAGACGCGGTGTGTATGCGGTGTGTGTGTGCGCATGTGGACTGGTTCTCGGCCAGATTGTATCGCTGAAGTCGATTACGATGCGTCTGCCAGAACACTTAACCCTAAAACCCTAGTTCTCTGAAACTCTACTGGTAGCGACTCTTTAATACAGAACACGCGGGAGAACTCTACATAATAGTATTGTATACGTCGTGTGTATGTGTGTGTGTGTGTGTGTGCAACTCTATATAATAAATTCCTTTAGGAAATTGAGTCTTTCCAAAATTGTCGTATATGTGCACAAGCGCTGTGTGTGTACGTGTGTATCACATTAAAGGGTATCTCTATCGCACTACATAGTCCGAGACAATGCCTTTTCGTTGTCGGTATGTCGGTAGCTATAGTGTAGGTAACGGGGTTTCGGCCCGATACAGAACAGGTGGGACGATACTCTTATATAGGCTGACGAAGACTAGACTGTGGCTGTAGACGTAGTCAGTATATCTGCGCGGGTGTGGATAGATCGTTAAGACATCAGTCTACAGTTATATATAGGGTTTAATTATTTTTTTGTTTAATGGTTAAGCGGTTTAGTTTTTTTCATTATATTGCATGACATACTAGGTAATTTTAACAGCGACGCGTTGGCCGAAGCCAGAATATACAACCCCTTAGAAACTAACTAAAAGATGTAGACTGCATATATTATTAACAACATATGTATGCGAATACATCTGCAG